GAAGCAGGATCATCTTAGCTGCCACAAACATCTTGGAAAGATTCACCATTTTTCTTTTGTCTTGTGAAAGTTTGGTTTTGATCCTTACAGGGTGGGTGGAGCCCTCCACAAAGCACCAGGGGCTGGCATGATGTGATTGTTTATACTTACACTAGCTGCCTTGTAAAAATGGTGTTCATAGGCCCGGTGCAGTAGCTTAGTGGCTAAAGTCCTCGGCTTGCAAGTGCCAGGATCCCATATGGATGCTGATTCTAATCCTAGCAGCTCCACTTCCCAACCAGCTCCCTGCTTGTGGCCTGGGAAAGCAGTAGAAGATGGCCCAAAGCCTTGGAACCCTGCACTTGTGTGGGAGACCCAGAAGAGGCTCTGGGCTCCTGATTTTGGATTGGCTCAGCTCCAGCCATCACAGCCACTTGGGGAGTAAATCAATGGACAGAAAATCCTCTTCTCTGTCTCTCCTCCTCTCTGTATATTAAAAAAAAAAAAAAAAAAGATTTGTGTTAGAAAGGCAGACCGAGGTGGACAGAAGACTGTTGTTGTCCACCTGCTGGTTCGCTGCCCGGGTGGCTGTGACAACCTAGGACAGCTGAGGCCAAGACTCCAGCTGGGCCTCTCAAGCACAGCAGGAAGTCGGGCACTTGCGCCATCATCTGCTGCCTCCCAGGTGCATGAGCAGGAAGCTGATGCTGACATGGAACACCAGGGACCTGAACCAGCATTCTGGTATGGGATGAAGGCATCCCAAGCAGCAGCTTCACCTACTGCCCCACAAACTTTTCAAAGCAACCTCATGCCTTTTTAGCTCTATTCTACAAGTCTGATGTTTTCCTCAAAAATCACTGTGTTGATAAACTAGGATGTTATCAATGACAGGTGAGTGACGGAGGAGACAAGGCACCACACACACACATTTGCCTTGTGCCAAGTGTTCCTGGAGACCAGTACTGTAGGGGTCCAGGCCAGAGGCAGAACCCGTGCGATAGCCAGGTGTCCTACTAGGATCTCTTACTTGAACCTGACGCTGCAATTGCTGGGCTGGTTAAGCCAGCTCCGTAAGGGCGTGAGCTGTCAGCCTGTGACCTCCTGCGGGGTCCTTCTTGGCAGACACCTGGCCCAGGGCCCAAGCAGCTGACTTGGGGGAAGGCTGAGCAGCTAGCTGCAGGGTTATGAGTCAGCTGCTCCACCTGCACCCTCCTTTCTCTCCCCAGTATATTCTTCCTGAGGCCCACCCTGAAATCACGGGAAGGCAGTGCTGGGAAATGGTTCAGCCTGGGCAGGTGGGTGGACACTTCTTGAAGCAGAAGAGTTGATGCACACCTGGAGTATTTGGGATTGCATCACCTCTGGAGAATCAGCCTGATCCATGAACTTGGTATAGCTCTCCGTTTGCAAGTGAATGCATCTTGCAAATGTCCCCGTTTTATCTGAGAAGCAAAGAGACAAAGACAGAGGGAGAGAAACAGAGAGAAATATAATCTTTTTTAAAAAGATTTATTTATTTATTTTTATTGGAAAGGTGGATATACAGAGAGGAGAACCAGAGAGGAAGATCTTCTGAATGATGGTTCATTCCCCAAGCGGCCGCAACAGCTGAAGCTGAGCCAATATGAAGCCAGGAGCCAGGAGTTCTTCCAGGTCTCTTACACGGGTACAGGGTCCCAAGGCTTTGGGCCGTCCTCCACTGCTTTCCCAGGTGTGTTAGCAGGAAGCTCAAAGGGAAGTGGAGCTGCCAGGACTCGAATTGGCACACATGGGATGCCAGCACTGCAAGCAGCAGTTTTATTTGTTATGCCATAGTGCCATCCCCTACTCACCTGCTTGTGAGAGGAACCATCTCCAGAAATAGATGACAGCCAGCACTCCCTCTGTGACCCAACCTCCCCACGCAGCAGCTTGAGCTACGAAAAGACCTGGTTGGTACAAGTGCACTAGAGGTAGCCTTCCCAGGTGCCTTACCAGAGAGCTGGATGAGAAGTAGAGCAGCTGGGACTCAAACCTATGCTCCCTGCAGGCCGTGTTCCTTCAGCCCTCAGTCTTTGGGCAACCATGAGGACAGGCGTGTTTCAATGTGGCCGATGGTCTAGCAGCTCCCGCTCCCCCTCCTGGCCTCGTTGCTGCTCCCCCTTCCCTGTCTCCCAGCCCCCACTGGCCCTCCCCCCTCGCCCTGCCATACACAGCATGCTCAGAATTAACAACTGAAGTCACGGAGTGCCTGTTGCATCAACGTCATCCTTCAGCTAAGTGTGTGAGTGCCTCCTTAATGTGGCACAGGTATCCAAAGTCCTGGCCACCCAGCCCACTGCGTAAGGCCCTGCCCCCTAACAAGATGGGAGCTCTGGGGAATGGGATGCAGCCCTTATCTTTTCTGGGAGTATCGACCCTCTGTCCACAGTGACTGTATTTCCTAATTTTTGCTCATTTGCTCTTGCGTTGGAGGAAGGGGCTGTTGTGAAACTCCAGAAACCGCCCACCTGAGGAGGTGTCCCCTGTTCCTGGCTGGGCTGAGACAGGCGTGGGGTGTGTCTGTGTTCTCACGGAAGGCTCGGAGGGTGTGTGACTGTGCGTGTGTGCGTGTGTCACAGGGAAGGCCTTAGGCCTGCTTTCACGTTTGCACATGCAACCCATTCTCCATCCAACTGCAGACTTCTGAGATCCCTGGGGACGCGGGAGGGGGTGACGCCTGCTGGCATTCTTCATCCAGCAGAGCAGACAATGAGCCCAAAGGAGGGCCAGCCGTCTAGCCTTCCAGGCTGGAAGCCCAGGATTGGAGATGTGTGTCTGTGGTGCTGGTGTTCCACTGTGCATCCCCTGTTCCTGTTGCTGCCTGCTACACTCAGTCTCTCCTCTGCCAGTTGGTACCCCCCAGCCCTCAGTTCAGAAGGAACCTCAGAGCAAGCACTGATGACCCTCCTCACCACTGATGACCTGTGCACCTGCTGTGGACCAAGGAGCCCAGGAGCCCTCGGGGAGAGAGCAGAGGCCGCTCCCGCTCCTCACCTTGGACGTCCTGGCTTGTCCTTCGGGAGCCCTGGCTGGAGTTCTGCTTCTAGCATACCCCTCCTCCTTGCATCTCTGAGTTCCGAAGTCCCATGCTGTGCAAATACTGGGTGATTGGGGTATGTGTTCTGAGCTATGCTGGCAAATGGAGGCCCGCTGGCTCTTGCTGGCTGGCCACAGGGCTTTTGGGGTTTGCTCTGTTCTTGGGGGTTGGGGGTGTCCAGAAACATCTTTGACCCCCCAACAAAGCTGTCAGGGCCCAGGTCCACTTCCGTTCATGGCTCCTGCATGGCTGCCCTCCCCCAGACTTCACAGCTCATTCCAGGGAGAAAGCAGGCAGTGGGCAGGCAGACCCCAGGCCTCAGAGCTTCATGCCTTTCCAATGGGACAACAGTGGGTGCTGACCAGGACGGGGAAGCTCAGAAAAAACCTCCTGACATACAGTCTCCATTGGCGGTTTGGTGTCAACATCCTGTTTGTCCCTCTCTCTCTCTGAGGTGCTACCCCATACTGTCGCCTCTTCTGGGTGTCCCCCCCTTCCTGGGGTCTGCCCCATGCCCACCCTCTGCTGTTGCCTCATGAGCTGTCTCATTTCCCCACCCATGTCCCCAGTGTCTTAGCAGCTGCATTGGTTTTCTTGTGAAGCCTCCATGTTGATACCACAGAGCGGGAAAAACGTGAACTTGGGCTCGGTCTCCTCCTGGTTCCTCTGGACTGGGGGCTCCCTCCCTGTAACAGGTCACCAGTGATGGTGACCAGCTGTGGGGCAGATGTAGCCATTAAATGATGATGCAACAAGCCAGTGCTCAGGGCTGTGTCTAGGATATGGTTATTAACCACAGCAAATGACTGTTACTCCAGACGGGACGTGTGTCCACCATAAAGAATCACTAATTTCAGAAACAATCCATCAGCGCCAGTGGGGACCCACCAGAAGCCCTGAGGGTCCCACAGGCACAGGGCCTACACAGCAGAAACCCCAGACTCCTCCTACCCCCAGGGGGAGGCTCTGTGCACTGGAGCCCTGCTGCTCAGGTGCCCATAGACAGCCAAGTGCCTAGAGAAGAGGGAGGCGAAGGCCCGTGGGAAGTGTGGGGAAAGGCAGTGCCACGTGCAAGTGTGGATAGGCAAGGACTGGCCACTCAGACACATGCATGCATCCGGAGCACCGTCACCCCGGAGATCACCAGAGGCGGCAGATGCTGGCCAGAGATACATGGACACACGCACCAGAGGGGCTGAGGGCCCTGGCAGCAGGGGACGCTGTGTTGAGAGCTTTTCCACTCAAAGAATGGACTGGCCAGGCTGGGCAGGGTGTGGAGCAAGGTGCCCAGTTCAGACAGCCAGAACAGCACTGTCCCCAGGGCCAGGGCATCCCCTAAGTCAAACTGATGTGGTCTAAGAGGAGCCAGAACAAAGGCAATATCAAGACCAAATACAGCCTCTGGCCACCCACGTGGTAGAACTTTCCAGAAGGCAGGTGAACTCTGTCCCCAGCCACGTTCGCTCTTCTGAGTAATGGCAGCAAACTCTCCTCACCAGTTTTGGTCATTCGAGGGTGACCACGGGCAGGCTCCAGCACATATGGTGTGCCCAGTACATACGGAGCTCAGGACACTGTGGGCTCCCTCCACAGGTCACCTCACCATGACCCATGCCATCTGCTGTTGGAGTTACAGGTGTGGCTGAGCCTGTAAGGGACTTTCAGGCCTGGGTGGGGCCCCTCTCCTGGGCGTAAAAGCTTCTTCTCTGTGCCTCACTCTTTCCTGGTCCTGCTGCCTAAGGTGACCGTAGGGGCAGGTATCCAGGTGGGGTCATTGCCAGAACAGGGTCAAATCAGCCCCTGGAACACAGTTAAGGACTTCCTTCTTGTAAGGTGGCACTAATGTGAGGTGATGTATGTCATCTGGACTCTGGAAGGGGTGGGGCAGGTGGCAGGCCTGTCTGATGAGCTATATAAAGGCTCCGGAACCAGAGAGAGTGTCTATTGGAGACAGTGTCACTTCAGGCTGTAACAGCAACAGGAGCATCAAGAGCCAGGAGCCAGGAAGGAGCATGGATGACAGCATAGCACCAAGGCCCAGGTACCGCTGCCGCACTGCCCCACTGCCTTCCCCCTGGGACTTGCCCACCTCCCTCCAGGTAGGGACTGCTCCTTAGGCCCCAGGGACCATTGGGAATTCTGACCTCTGCAGCCAGGATCAGTGGCTCTGCTCCTGGTTGGCCACCGGCACTGATCAGGGACCGCAATCAGAATGACGCATGGTTCCCTCTCTGCCTCCCACCCCCACCGCCTGTGCACCTGACCCAGTGCCCAGCAAGGGGAGGAGGCACCTGAGCTTGGTTTGTCCTTGGCACTGTGTCTCTCTCCTCTGCTGCACAAACGCTGGCCTCCCCTTCGCCTCTCCAGTCAGTCTTGCAGGTTCACCAATAACTTGTCCTTCCCGTTTCTGTTTTTTCTGCTGAGGGCTGTATGAGTCTCTGTAGCATCAATGAGCCTGCTACAGATTTCCTGGTTGTTGAGCTCCATCTGCAGTCATCTGGGCAGGATCAGATGGTTTCACAGGCCTCACGTGGCCCCCAAGCTGGCCACTCCAGTGCACCTGACATTGAGTTTGGAGGAAGCATTCTGACCTGTTTGTGCATTCAGGGCTCAGTTACTTGGGCCCCAGTGCTGGGCAGGCTCCATTCACTTCTCCTACCAAGGGCTTGCTATTCTTGTACCCAGGGAAGCTCAGGGAGTTGGAAGCTGAGGCGAAGGGTGCAGGGGCCAGGGATGTGGTGGTCCCGGGGATACAGTAGTTCCAGGGAGAGATGAAGTAGTTCCAGGGAGCTTCGATATTTGCCTGCCTCTCACTGTTGTCCGCAGAGTCCTGATGGAACCAGAGATGTTCAAGCAACAGTTTGCAAATGAAGATCAAGGCTGTGGGCTGAGGCAGACCTACCTGTGCTACGAAGTGGAGCGCTGGGACGGGAGCTCCTGGGTCCCCATGGCAGAGCACCAGGGCTTCCTGCGCAACCAGGTGACAGGCCCGTCTCCATCAGGGGGCATGGCTGGTAGAAGATTCCAGGTTGTGCACATAGCCTCCTGTGGCTTGTGTTACTTTCCGTGTCTGTGGCCCTGCTCTGGCACAGGATGACTTCTTGGGCCTGTGGTCGGTGGCTTTGAGCTACAAGTCCGGGCCTGGCCCCACTCATCCAGTGGCACTCAGCTCTGAGTAAGGCAGCTACACCAAGGACAAGTGGTGTCAGGTCCACCAGCACTACCGTGGTTGCACATTCCCCTCCCCAGGGCCCCCACAGATGGCTCTGCTGGTGGGTCCAGGGTCATGTGACCTCACAGGGTGCACTCCTAAGTGTATCCCTGGGGTAGTCTGCAAGATAGGACCATGAGCAGTCACGCTACCTGGGGTGGGGCCCACAAGACGGCTGGGGCAGCAAGCAGCCCCATCTCAGGGGATTTTGGAGAGGAGCAGGTGTGAACTTGGCTAACAGACTCCTGAACCAGGACAGCCTTGGGTGTGGTCCAGGGGGTAGACAGCCCAGTGGGCCCCATGAGCTACAAGGGGGCCTACAGGGACCCTCACACTACTTGGGACATCATGGCGAAAGGCATCCTTTCACCCAGGGAGGACCCTGGCTGCCCCTCTGCCTTGCCTGTGTTGTCATCTGCCACACTGGCACTGTACCCCCTCCACAGGGTGTCCCTGCAGCTCGAGGGACAGAGGGGAGCCCTTTTGGCCTGAGGCTCTGTCACTTTTATGCTCAGCAGAGTGGAGCCCACAGTGGAAGCTTCTGGAATGTTTGGGGCCCAGATGGGAGCAGGTAGAGGGACCCCCTCATGTAGGAATGGCTCAGGCCCCAGGGCCTTGGTCTCAGCTCTTCCCTATAGGGTCAGCCTGGGTCCTGTAGGCAGCTGGGAACAGCACAACGGCAGGGAGGGACTCCACCCTCTCAGGAATCAGGAAAACTGTCTCTTGGACAAGATCAAGACTAGCTCATGGGCTCATGTCCACACAGTGCATGCTCAGGGAAGACAGATCAGAAGGGAGCATGGCAGGGACCCCATCTGCTGGTTCACTCCCCGGTTGGCCTCCACAGCCAGGACTGGGCCAGCCAAAGCCAGGAGCCAGATTCCCACCCAGGTCTCCTGTCCAAGAGGGTTCAGTCTGAGAAAGAGGGAGTCGGCTCTGAACCGAGCAGTCTGGAAGGCCACTCAGTGTGCAGGGAAGCAGATGGCCGAGGCCAAAGTACGCAGCTGCAAGTGTGGTTGTTTCTAAGGTGACAAGGTCACAGATTGCCACATCAGTAAGAGAAACTTGATAGCCTAAGAAAATAACTTCTAGGAGCTGAGTGGGGTTCTCCTTCCTTCCTCAGAGTGGGAACCCCTGCCCCTCACTTCATAAACTTATACTTTGAGGGGCCAGCACAGTGGCGTAGTAGCTTAAGTCTCTGTCTGTGGTGCCAGCATCCCATATGGGTGCCAGTTGCCAGTTTGAGTCCCAGCTGCTCCACTTCTGATCCAGCTCCCTGCTCATGTGTCTGGGAGGGCAGTGAAGGATGGGTCAAGTCCTTGGACCTCTGTACTCTTGTAGAAGCTCTGGAAGAAGCTCCTGGCTCCTGGCTTCAGACTGACCTGGCTCCAGTAGTTGTGACCACTTGGGGAGAGAACCAGCGGGTGGAAGATCAGTCTCTGTATTTTCTCGCTCGGTAGAATCTGCCTTTCCAATAAAAAAATAAATAAATCTTTAAAAAAAATCTGTACTTTGTATCTCTGTCTCTTTCTTATACTTAGTTGCAAACTAAGTATAAGCTGGTGGCCTCTTCACCATCATGTATGCTGCTTCCCAGGTGGTAAGCAGAGGGCTGGATGGGAAACGCAGCAGCCGGGTCTCAATGCCAGCACCATCTGGGATGCAGCCTCGAGGAAGCCCCTCTTCTTCTCTTTCATGTGCAGCCTAGATCCCGCCATGCAGAGCTGTGCTTCCTGGACCTGCTCTCTCACTGGCAGCTGGACCCCGCCCAGCGCTACAGGATCACCTGGTTCATCTCCTGGAGCCCGTGCTCCGATTGTGCAGAGCACGTGGTCACCTTCTTGGGGAACAGCAATCATGTGAACCTGCGCATCTTTGCTGCTCGCATCTACACTTTGTCCAGATATCAAGAAGGGCTGCAGGCCCTGCAGAAGGCTGGAGCCCCGGCAGCCATCATGTCCCTTGATGGTGAGGACGCTGCTGGGGTGGGGTGGGTGGTGGAGGACAGGGGGCCAGGAGAGAGGATGAAGGGGCTCTGGGAACTTCTCCCCAGCACCCGGGCAATGCCTCCGTTCTCTGTGTGGTGTTTGGGAGGTGATACTGGTCCCCCTGCTGAGTGGCCAGGGCCGGACACCCCTTCTCCTTTGCTATCCTAGAGTTTGCTTACTGCTGGAACACCTTTGTGGACAACCAGAATTGTCCCTTCGAGCCCAGTCCCGGGCTGGCCAACGCCATTCAGTGCCGGGAGGAAGGGCTGCAGCACATCCTGCAGGTGAGCCCCTGCCGCCTCCCTAGCCCTGGCCTGTCCTCCGGGTAGGTCCATCTCCGCCCCAACGCCAGACTCTGCTGTCCCTCCCCTCCCCACCATCATGGCCACTGTCAATCATCATTACTATCCCCACAGTTCTCTCTGCTCCACCTTCCCAGCCTGACTTCATCAGCTTTGTCCTGCTCTTAGGGTCTCTGAAGAAGGCAAGAGCCTGCCACCAAGCACCCAAGAAGAAGAGCGGAGACAACAGGGTGGCATCTTTTGCCCGCCCTGCAGGCACCCCACAGGCAGGAGCAGGGCCACGTGTTCAGGGTGCCAAGCAGACATTTAAAGATATCAGAGGGGCCTGGTGTGGTAGTTCAACAAGCTAATCCTCCATATGCAGTGCTGGCATCCAATATGGGCATTGGTTCATGTTCTGGCTGCTCCATTTCCCAGCCAGCTCCCTGCTTATGGCCTTGGAAATCAGTGGAAAATGGCTTGGGTCCTTGGGCTCGGTTCACATGGGAGACCAGGTAGATGCTTCTGGCTCCCAATTTCAGATTGGCTCAGCTGCAGGTACTGTAGTCACTTGAAGTGTCAACCAGCAGATGGAAGATCTCTGTCTTTCATTCTTTCTGTATCTGTAAATCTACATTCCAAATAAAGACATAAATCTTTTAAAAAGGGTCCGGTGCAGTGGCCTAGTGGCTCAAGTCCTTTCCTTGAACGCACTGGGATCCCACATGGGCACCAGTTCTAATCCCGGCAGTCTCACTTCCCATCCAGCTCCCTGCATGTGACCTGGGAAAGCAGTAGAGGATGGCCCAAAGCCTTGGAACCCTGCACCCATGTGGGAGACCTGGAGGAGGTTCCGGGCTCCTGGTTTCGGATCGGCACAGCACCGGCCATTGTGGTCACTTGGAAAGTGAATCATCGGACGGAAGATCTTCCTCTCTGTTTCTCCTCCTCTCTGTATACCCGACTTTGCAATAAAAATAAAATAAATCTTTTTTAAAAAATCTTTAAAACAAATATTCCAGAGTTACATGATTCTGAATTGGAAGCATATACTTAGATTTAGAGTACTCAGTAGTGAGAGTGCATTCCATCTTATCAGAATAATTTTCAATGTAGCAAGAAAATAATTGTTTTCATTCATTTTTGCTTATTTGTTTTCATTGATTTTTTTAAAGATTTTTTTTTAATTTTTTTAATTGGAAAGGTGGATATACAGAGAGGAGAGACAGAGAGGAAGATCTTCCGTCCGATGATTCACTCCCCAAGTGAGCGCAACGGCCGGTGCTATGCCGATCCGAAGCCAGGAGCCTCTTCCGGGTCTCCCACGCGGGTGCAGGTTCCCAAAGCTTTGGGCCGTCCTCGACTGCTTTCCCGGGCCACAGGCAGGGAGCTGGAAGGGAAGCGGGGCTGCCGGGACTAGAACCGGCGCCCATATGGGATCCCGGGCGTGCAAGGCGAGGACCTTTAACCACTTGCGCCACCGCGCCGGACCCCCCTTCATTGATTTTTAAGTCCACAATGCAGTGGAACATGAAGACAGGCCCACAGTTGGGGTTTGGATATGTAAATGCATCATGAATTCCTGTATTGTTAAATGAACACTTGGAAATGCAAAAATGGCTTTCCGCTCCACTGTGGGCCTCTGGGGCCAGTGGGGGTGTGGCAGTAGGCAAGGGTTGCACCGAGCTCTGGGACAGGTCAAACTGAGCCAGCTCCTGCATGAAGGGACCTAAAACTCAACATCGGCCTCAGTAACTGGGACACTGTTCCCCAGCTCTGTTGCCAATCAACAGGCCTGCCAGTATCACCAAGGACAACCAGTGTGTCCCCAGGAGAGTGGTCAGGGCAGCCAGGTCACCCACCCCTCCTAACTTCCATTCCCCAGGGAGGGAGGGAGGGCACATCTTACCCGGGGTCACGCTGCCTCTTGGCAGTGACACCTCTCTTGCTCTTGCTGTCTCTGCAAGGCTGGCACACGCTGAGTCAAGGGCCCCTGGCAGCCGGCCATCCTCCGCCACAGCTTTCTTTAATCCTAGGCACACATGTTGCAACACTGCAAACACACGCCGGCTCCCATCGCAAGGACTAAAACCATGTCACAACCTTGACAGTGACTGAACGGCTGCAGGGGAGAAATTTCTCCGTTTGCAGCCCTGAAATAAGAGCAGCTGATGCCCACCCTCGACATGGCATGCAGTGTCCCCTGCATGAGAGAGCCTTGCCTCTCCCCACCATGCCCTCCTGGGCTCAGGCCTTCTCCCCAGGTCAGGGACAGAGCTGAGTGCACCCTGAAAACTCACAGTGACTCCCTTTCAGTTTAAGAATTGAGACAAGATGTGGGTCCAACTCTATGGAATCACAAGTCCCACTGTTTAGCTTAGAGGTTGGGATGGTGTTGGGATGAGCTAGGCGTGACCGTGGAATTCACCAACATTCACGGGTACTGGGGTTTGGAACAGGCGGGGCAGGTAGAGGTTGCAGTATCCTCATGAATACCCTAAACCAGGGTGTGGGCCGGGCTGGGCTGTAACATCCGCCAGGGTTGGGACAGATGGGGCAGGCCATGCCAGGTAAGGGCCTAGACTCCATTCGTTGGCAAATGTGTGAGTTGGTTTTGGAAGGGGACTGACTCTGTGCACACCCCCTTGGAAGAGGACCAGCAGGCACAGGTGGCTGGGGTGGCGTCTCCTGCAGTCTTCAGTGTGTCACAGGTCCCTGGCATGGTTGCCCAATTCCCAGCAGGATTCCATTTTTGGGATTCGGAAAGTCAGAATTCCTAGGAATTTTCCAGAAAGTGGAAATGGAAGGAGTTGGCGCCTCTGCAAGCCTGTTTAGTTTCATTTCCACCAGACAGTGATACCCAGACTTTTGCCTTGGATTCCTCCTGAGATGCAGAACACGATGCAAGACCTCCAGGGCATGTGAGGAAGGAATAGGTCCCTGGGACCACACTCCTTGGTGTGCGGTCCCCTTCCCCTCTGCCCGCAGCAGCCCTGGGACCCAGCCCTTCAGGAAAGACTCCGCTTCCTCAGAGCCTCCCAGGCAGGACCCGGCAGGTCGAGGTGCTGCCAGCACATCCCTTCCCCAAGCCCCGAAGCCCCTCAGGGATGCCTTAGGGCCCTTCCCTCTCTCTGTCCAGAGCCCATCCAGTCTCTTCCATGGTGGGTGACCACAGCCCCTCGAGGACCCCCAGCAGATGCCTACCTGAGGTCAGCACCTGTGGTGTGGACCTAAGGAAAACAAGCCCTGGTGACTCCTCTCCCTCATAACCCACCTCAGAAATTTCTGGAAGAGAGGAAGGCAAATGTTACTTTCTCACTCTGCTCTGACAAAGAGGGGATGATGGGATTCAGCTCCCAAGAACGGGAAAGGGCAAGCTGGAAGTTAGAGGAGGGTCAGGTGGCCTCGGGGAATCCCCTTTGCCCTGAAGCAGCACACAGTTAGGCAGAAGCGAGGGAGGAGGCTGTTCCAACGCCCTCCCAGTAAAACCTGTACCTGCTTCAGGGGCCCCACCATAGCAGCCAAAATAGGGCTCAAGTGGGGCAGCCAATGGGGTTCCCTTTCAGAGATGACACGCTTGACCCCGGCTGCCACTTGTCTGACTCCTCCTAAAAACCCACTTCCAGAGAGGAAATGTCCCAACCCAGAAGTAGGGGAGACTTGCCACGCCCATTGTATCCCAAGGAGGCAGCCCTGTGGACAGCGGGGTGCCCTGAAGGTAGGGGGCAGGGGGCAGGGGACAGACTTGGCTGACCTGCAGCACCTGTAGATACGCCACTTTCGATGACGATGGGAGTGACACTTGGGTTGTGCCAGGCTGCAGTGTTTCATCTCTCACTGCTGCTCAGCTCGGGGCTTTCCACCCTGGGATTCTACATGGTGTCCCCTAGGGGCATGGCCACGACTCAGAACACAGCCCCTGCTGCATGGCGTCTCCATCCTCCATTGGACAATCACCGCCTCATCTGCTGCCCTGAGGCTGACACCGGAGAGTCACTTGGGACTCCAGAAAGATCCTACACTGGTCAAACGGCAGGAAGCCTGCAGTCAACTTGAGGCAAATAAATGGAATGTCAAACAAGAGTCACAATGCTTATAATCCTAGGAAGGAAAAAGAATGTAAAAAATTGATTATCCAAACAAGCCAGAAGGAAAGCAATATTCACAATATACATATAGGAAAAAAGTGTTACTTAAGTCCAAATGACAGCCCAAAGCAAAGGCTTTTTTGAAATGGGAGCATGGGATATTTACATGTCGAAAGCTAGCCATGCTATAAAGCTATAAGGCTCCTGTCACCCAAAAGATGGGGTGTGGTGTGGACCCAGAAAGACACACAGACCAGGAAAACGCCACAAGGAAACAGGCCAGGTGTGGGTCAAGCCTCTGTCTGTGACACCGTATCCCGTACAAGTGCTGTTTCCAGTCCTGGCTGCTCCGTGGACCATGGTCCCCCTGCCAGGAGAGCTCAGTTCCTGCCCATGTCCCCTGGGGGCACGGGTGGGGCTCCAGCACTGCTCTCCAAGTGGCCCCAGCGACCTCTCCATCTCAGCACTGCTGTTTCCTTGTGTGTGACTGAGGTGTGACTTGGCCGCAGCCGGAGGGGCAAGTGACAGGCCAAATATTCAGGTCTCTGCCACGAACAGTGTGGGAGGCCTAGCTGGAGTGGCGGGCTCCTGGTTCCATACGTCCCGGTTTAGGCTGGTGCAGCCATTTGGCGGGAGAACCAGCGAACAGAAGACCCCCATGCCTTTCAAATACATGAAAATAAATAAGCATTAAAAATGATAATAAGCCTCAAACTGATGTCAACTGGACAAACACAAATACGGATATTGTGAAAAATGAAAGAAAGAAAGAAAAAAAAAACCAGAAGAACAGAGTTAAGGCTCCTATAGAAACTACAAGGGTTTGGCTTTCTGAAAATGCCATGTCTTTTGTTTTTTTGTTTTTTTTGTTTTTTTCTCTCGGTGAGAGAATTTCAAAGCACCTGGAAAGCACACAATTGTTCTCTAAGCCTTGCAGGGCAAGTGCACTTTGCTGCCATCTGGGCATGCTCTCCTGCCACTGCCAGGCAGAGGCCACCTCGCTTGGGGCACACCAAAGCTTGCCCCCTTAGGTGCCTGCGCTTTCTGTCCGTGCCCAGCCCTCCAGGGTTTCTCTGTTCGGCTCCAGTCGCCCTGGGGACGCGCACCCGTCTTGGACCGCCCAGCGGGCCCAGGTTCCAGCTTGCTCCGCCCAGGGCGGTGGCCCCGAGCCCGGTGGTTGTTCCGGCCGCCGCCCGCAGGGGGCACATGGGGACCGGACTCGCAGGCGCTGCTTCCCCTCCGCCCCTTAATTGGCTCCCGGCGACCACGGTGGCGGGGACCCCAGCATCAGAGCTCTTCTAAGAGTAAACAGACCTTTGCATGCCATCACCACGTGGGCCTTGGACGAAACACTGCCTTGGGTTTTTGTTGCTCCATAACGGTGTTCTTTTACGCAGGACAGCTCCCAGCTGCTGGGCCAGGACCAAAGCTGCAGCCCAGAACCCCTTAAGCATCTTCCAGGACCCTGTGAGCTGGAATCTGGGAGTCCACCAAGCACTCCAAGGCGCAGTGCAAAAGCATCCGACCCCCCACTTGGAGTCTTTAGCACTCTGGGGAGTATTTTTCCTGGAGATCCTCACCTATGCTGACAGTATTCTTTAATGTACAGTGTACTGGCTAAATACAGAATATGCTGGAAAGGAAGCCAGAGTCCAGAAGACTGGGACACAGGGAGTGTCCATGAGGGGGCCCTGACCTGTCAGCCTACAGCCGGGGACCTGGCCAAGGGGTCTGATATGCTCTCCTAGCTTGTACTTCCCCACTCATTCCCTCCAGAAGAGACCAGGTGATGCTACAGACGAGACTCAAGGTGTCAGTGCCTTAAATCCGGGTAGCCTTTGCCTTGCTTGTGATAAGGCCATGGTGATGGCGCTGGGGATGTGGTGGGCCTCTGTCTTGGCCTTTCCAGCTGCAAGGGAGCAGGACCCACCACAAAGGACCCTGGCTGGCCCCTGCAGCCCTGCCCTCCCGGGACCTCCTGATCACACACCTGCATCCCACATCTGGGAACCTGGGCTTGGTACCCAGCCCCTGACTCCATCTGCTAAGGCAGACTCCGATGGCTGGGTTCCTGCCACGCTGGGAGGCCTGGGGTGTACTCCCTCCTCCTCCCTTCCAGCCAGCCATGCCGCACCCCTTCTGTGGGCATCTGGGGAGTAGAGCAGCAGGTGGCCGCTCTAGCTGTCTCTCCACCTCTCATATAAATGCTTAAAAGAAAGCTGAGATTTGATGTACCACGTATTCATGATCCAAAAACATTGACACATCTTTTTTAGACTCATCTGAAAAAGTCACTTCCCTCATCTGCCCATCCCTCACAGCATGGCTAAGGGTGCCCTGATGAAGCTTCAAACATCTGGAATACAAATAACAATCCCATGGGGGCCAGCAGGATGGCTCGATTGGCTAATCCTCACCTTACAAGTGCCGTGATCTCATAGCCAAGTCGTGTCCCAGCTGCTCCACTTCTCATCCAGCTCCCTGCTTGTGGCCTGGGAAAGCAGCAGAGGATGAAGATAGAACTGGAGCCTCTGCACCCATGTGGGAGACCTGGAGGAAGTTCCTGGCTCCTGGCTTCAGATCCATACAGCTCTGGCCATTGTAGCCAGCTGGGAAGTGATCCAGGGGACTGAAGATCTCTCTGTAAATCTGATCTACCTTTCCAGTAAAAATAAATATATTGATTTTTTTTTTTTTTTTTAGAAGTCATCTTAGAAGCTTCCAGATGAAAGGAACAGATACAAAGTAGGACATGAAGGGCTGAGGTCTCAGGGGAGGGGGTGTTGCCAGACTAGCCATAGAAAGCAGAGGAGACCATGTGCACAAGCCGGAACCTTCTACCAGCCATGCCCCCATGGGGACGGGGCTGTCACCTGGATGCACAACTGAAGAATATTGTGAAGTTTCACTTATTGGCCCTGCCTGCAATCTCTTTGTCAGTGGTGCTCAAGATGCCAAAATTGAAACGTTGGGAATGGGTACTTAGCACAGTCATTAGGGTACCTCTTGGGGGTGTCTTGCATACACATACTGGAGTGCCAGGGTTCGGGTCCTGGTCTGGTACCCATTTCCTGGAAGACACAAGTGCTTGGGTCCCGACTCATGCACGTGGGACACCCGGATTTGGCCGGGCTTTGGCTAATGAGAACATTCTCTCACTTTACTTCAATGAAATAAATAGCTAATCTTTAAAATATTTTGAACGTTAATTTTCATCTACTTGAATGAATGACAGGAGCCTGCTGCCTCTAGGGCAGGCTAGTGAGAAGCTGGACTGGAGGGAGGGCCCGGCAAATGGGCAACCCAAGCAGCAGTTTTTCTAAATTAAAGCCCGCACGGAGGAGGCTGCACGCCGGCCGGCTCGGCTCCCCTGTCGAAGCCCGCCAAGCCGCCTCTCCCTCAGAGATTCCGGACTGTGTGAGTCTGTGCAAGGGCCTGGCTCCGTCTCCCCAGAGCACACCTCACGGGTGACAACACTCGTGCGGATCCATTCGGGATTAAAGCAAGTCACTAAGAAAAAAACCATCGCCGGCGACGTGGGCACGTGTGGCGCGTGTGGCGTGGGGCTCGGGCGGCTGGCAGGTGCCAGGGAGCTCTCCCTCCTCACGCCGGCTTCAGCCCAGCCCTGCCACTCCTCCCAGCATGCCCGGGGAAAATCCCGGGGGTCACGCCGATTAGATCGGCAGGGGTCATGTGCTCACGCCTAAGCCAATCACAGCGCGGCTGATGATACCCGCCCCATACACACACCATGGCGGCACCCCAGCCCTCCCGGTCCTGCCGCGTCCTGCGTGAAGGTGTGCAGTGGATGCCGCTGACAAGTGCTGCCTTATCTGTTCTCCTAAAATCACGAGAAACTCCCTCTTTATCCTCCTACCTGGTGACGTACGAGTGTCAAATGCCACATTGCTGAAATGGGAGACCCAAGGGTCGAGTTCACAGTGACCCTCAAGTCCACCAGTGCGCTCTACTTACTGCCTTTGTGACTTCTGATGGACAAAGTCCTTCGCGGCTTTGGCCACACATGACCATGAATGAGGTGCGGACGAAGTTGAGCCCCTCCTTTCTCCCCCTCTACACGCTTAAAACTGGGACTGCAGCTCCCCTGGATTGGCAGCAGGTGCCATCACAAAAGACAATTTCCTCGCTTTAAAGAAAAATAAGTAAAAGATTTATTTTTACTTGAAAGATTTATAGAGAAGGAGAGACAGAGAAAGATCTTCCATCTGATGGTTTACCCCCCAAATGATTACAACTGCCAGAACTGAGCTGATCTAAAGCTAGGAGTCAGGAGCTTCTTCTGGGTCTCCCATTCAGATGCAGGGTCCCAAGGCTTTGGGCCATCCTCGACTGCTTTCCTAGGCCACAAGCAGGGAGCTGGATGGGAAGTAGAACAGCCACAACATGAACTGATGCCCATATAGGATCCTGGTACATGCAAGGCAAGGCTTAGCCTGTTGAGCCATCGCAGTAGGCCTGACAATTGTTTCATCTGGTAGTGTACTCCTTCCCCCAAGTGCCTGCAGCCCGAAGCCTGGGTCAGGCTGAAGCCAAGAACCTGAAACTCCATACAGTTCTCCCACGTTGGTGACAGGAACCAAGTACCCATCCCTGCTACTGACATTTTAGCAGGAAGCTGGGATTGGGAATTGAATTGGGACTCAAACCCAGGCACTGTTGTATGGGATGCAGGCGACCCAAGCAGTATCCTAAATTTGTGGTAAAACTTCCATGAGGATTACATAAAGAACTTAATATCAGATGCCTGACATACAATTGGACCCCATGTGTGGTCCCTGTTTCCTTCTGTCTGCACCCCCTCCTATAAGCTTATCCCTAGAGGGAAAAGGCACCATGGGTTAGGGTCTGCCTAACCTCTCACAGGTCTTGGTCACTCTAAAATTTTGTAAATGGTGACTCCCCCTCCCCCGGACCCAGCCTCCAGTAGTGTCTCAGCAGTAGGGACTTAGATGTTTTCTTTCTATCTCTCACAGCCTTACTCGTTCTAGTCCCACTGACCTTGTGGAAAGTGGAGTGAGAGCAGTTGTATTTCAGGACCATGAACAGCACCAAAGCGCCCCCCCCCCATCCCAACAGGTGGGTCCTATTAAGGTCCACCTCCGCCCACAAGCCAAACAGAGATTCTGCTGTGCTGAAAGATGAGGTTGAGAGCAAACGATACTCAGGAACTCTTGCCATTTGCACCCATCAAGTGGAGAGGGGGTGGCCCCATGGTGGGCTTCCAGGGGGCAGGGCAGGAGGGGGCGCTGAGATGGGTAGATCTGTCTGGGAGCGATTCCGAAGCCCAGTCACGGGATGCTGTAGGCTGCAAGCCAGCTACAGCTGGTCACTGCCATTCAAACGCAAGGGTCATTGAGAAAGCTCCAAGCAAGGATGCCAGAGACAGGCCAACAGCGGGGCTGACCTGGGGCCTGCAGGGTGTGACAGGGCAGGTTTAGCTGCCACCTGCAGCACCAGCATCCCATGTGGATGCTGGTTCAAGGCCTGGCTGCTGCACTTCCGACCCAACTCTCTGCTAATGCACCTGATGAAGTAGCACAAGATGGGTCAAGTACTCGGCCCCCTGCACCCATGTGGGAGACTGGAATGGAGCTCCTGGCTCCTGGCTTCAGTCTGCCTCAGCCCTGGCTGCTGTGGACATGAGGAGTGAGCCAGTAGATAGAAGTTGGCGCTCTCTCCCCATCTCTCTGTTTTTCTTTCTGTCTGTGACTCCACCTTGCAAATGAACTTTTTCTCTTTTATGTGGCGACCCTTCTTGCCAGCCTCTGTGGACATGGAGCTGATGACTCTCTCCTCTCACGAACTGCTTGTCTACGCACCATGTCCACCCCACTTGCTCTCACGGCTGTTCTGTCACCCCTGCCTCCTCCCCTCACTCAAGACCAGGGACATGGCAAAGGCTGGGCCCCTCTCTCTTCTCTCTCCTCCAGGTCTCCTCACCTGTGTCTCAGCTCTCACCTCCCTGTCTTTGCCTCCAAAATTTTACCTTACTACTCCAGATTCCTGCTAGAATCCATGACATCTACAGCGAAAACTCCTCAGGTCTCCGGGCACAGAGACAGGAGGATGAGCAGGATGAATGCCATCCTACAGAGTACAGTTAATACTTTGGGGTTGAAACCTACATGTGCTGCCTTCTCTCCCATCATCGGGTATATGAGGCCGGGTCCAAACGGCAGGGATGAGCGCGCCTCTCATTAACACATCTAAATGTTTACTTCTTGTCCCC